AAACACACTAGAGATTAGAAAGAGTTGTGGGTGTCCAATTTAGTTTTCGGCTGTTACAATCTGCCACACATATCGAGCAAATATTTTCTTCAAAAGATTACTTTTTTGCTGAATAAATAAAAAAAAAATAAAATACGACGTTCTAAAAGGACATCCAAAAATATACGTTTATATTAGGATAGCAGCACGACCCCGAAACCCCAACCCGATACCCGACGATCCTGCCTCCGAAGGCTTAGGATGCTACCCTAATTTATACCTTCCTTATTCGCCTCTCCTTTACTTAAAAAATATTTTTTTTTGGAACTTTAAATACCTTAAAATATCTCTTTAAATAAACATATCTATTTATTACTAAACATTTAGCACCACCTTCACAACACAAAAATGCCGCATAACCCAGAAATGGACATGGGAAAAAACGAAAGGCTTTTAATGGGCATTTATTTTATATACTAAATTATATATTTACTACTAATTTGCCACTTTATAATATTTGCATTTTTTAGTTTACAAAATTCCATGCTATTTACTTAATTAAAGTAAAGCTTGGATAAAAGAAAATATGGAGAAAATAAAGCTTGCGGACAGAAAATAAAAGTTGCGGACAATATTTGCGGACACAAAATATTATACCAACATATATTTTTGCGGACAGTCCGCAAATTATAATTTTTCCGTAAAAAATCTCTCATACTTGATTTTTTATTAAAAACCGAAAATCATTCATTAGCCATCCTTTCTCTTCATTTTTCGAATTTTAGACCCAAAAATTAGATTAATTTTTATTAAAGTTATGCCCATTTAATTTAATTTGGGGACGGTCCGCAAATTAATTTTTTCAATTTTATTTTTATTATTTTTCATTTTTTAAAATTATTATTTGGCAAGAACATTACATTTAAAAATCTTTCAATACATATGTATTTAATTTATTACTTTATTTTTTAAGCTTTTGCTTAGAATTTAAGAATAAATGATATGTAAGCAGAATTTTATATCTTTTAAATTAATTTGCGGACTGTCCGCAAATTAATTTTTTCCTAAAAAATCTGCTCGTACTTGATACATTTTTAATAACACGAAATTAGTCATTAGCCATCCTTTTTCTTCATTTTTCGAATTTTAGGCCCAAAAATTAGATTAATTTTTATTAAAGTTATGCTCATTTAATTAATTTGCGGATTGTCCGCAAATTAATTTTTTCAATTTATTTTTTTATTTAATTTTTTATTTTTTAAAATTATTATTTGGCAAGAACTTTACATTCTTTTAATACAAACTACATATATTCGTAATTAACCTTCCTATTATCTAGTAAATACCTCTCCAGCTCCGACTTTTTTTTGCCAAAAAAATCTGTTCTTTTATTCTCCGCAAAAAAGCCTATGTATTTTTATTGTTTTTCTCCCTATTTTTCACATCATTTCCAACATTTTAAAATAAAAATAATAATTATTTTTTTTAATAAAAATTTATTTAAATGACGAGATAATAAACAAAAAAAAGAAAAAAATAAATTACTCATTTAAATAAATTATTTATTTATTTGTTTGAGGGTGTGGGGGTCGGCATGTCCACCTCCCTCCACCAACTTTTTCTTAGTTAGTTTGAACTATTTTTAGAAAAATATTTTTTTTAAATAAATTAGTTTAATGGGGCTTTATTTATTATTTAAATAGAAATATTGTTTTTGATAAATATAAACATTCTATTAAATTTTGTTGCGGTCCTTAATGATGTTTGGAGGAATTATTAATGAACACGCTATATTTGATAATTTTTGTTTTTAATTCAAATTAATCTTAAGAGCTTTTTAGAGATCTCCACTAATGGAATAATTAATTTTCTTGTAAATACTTTTTATTTCTTCAATCCTCTAATAGGGGGGTGTTTATATTAATTAGGGAGGGTGTCACGAACTTTAAAAATAAAAATTAGATATTAACTGAGTTACCGTGCTCGGCAAATAGGTATTTTCGGTAACGCTAATACCGTGTTTTGCACCGTACCTCATAATCGTGATAAGTCGAGTGTCGTTTGAACCCAATTTTCGATTTAAAATAGGGTAGCACCCAGTCCCCCGAAACCCCTTTAAACTCAAATTCAAAACTTAAAGACTCCATCAATTTTCATGTTAATCATCTCTTATAGATAATTCATCGTTAAAAACAACCAACTTTACCAAGAAAGAGATTATCATACACACATACATACGTATAATTAATTATTTTGTAATAACAAAAGTTTTTTTCTTATTTCCACATTTAACTTAAAGCAATCACCAAACGATATTTAAAAATTTTTAGCTATTTTTTAAGTACCGCCCATTTTACATTTCGCATGGCCGTTAGAAAAGAGCTAGAGGAATCCCTTTTTGAAGGAACGCCCTATGAAGATTAAAATGGATGGCCAGCGGCTAATGAAAAGACAAAATGTCTTTTTGACAAAATGCCCATAAGGGTAATTTTGAATTTTTTCTATCTAAGATACATACTTCTTTATTGAAGCTTGGGTTGCTTCCGGAAGCATTAAACTTCGATTTACCTCAGTCCAGTTTACCACAAGGCTTAAAAAATTTGGATTAGTCCAACTTAAGAATGTCGATATCTTAAATGTCACCATAAACCTATTTTATCGGTTAATTATACTCCCTCGAATATTTATCTCTCTATTAAGCACCCCTTTAGTAAGAAGCTGAAAGAATAATTATCCTTCCTCAAAGGCTTAATCTAACGCTCAAATTTCAAAACGAGTTGCTCTCCTTCGATTAACTACCCCTCTAGCGAGAAGATGAAATAATAATTACCCAGGGTAATCATTCAACAAAACGCGGCTAGCTTCGCTAGGAGTCTTAGTGTCCCTTTTTGTCCACATTCCTTTTATGGGCATTTTGTCCAAACTTTCATTATGTCCACACCATAAAAACACTTGCGCATCTCATTAAAGGAATAACGAGAGGAAATGAGTAGCAGCTGGATGCACGTTTATTTTTGCATTTTTATTTTCTCATTCCCTCAAATAAGCCTTCTCTCTTTTATTCTATCGCAACAAGTGTTAAAAAAAGTAAAGGGGGGAGGGGAGGGAAAATAAAATAATATTTTTTTTATTATTATTAAAAATGTAAAAGCTAATATTTAAAGGGAGAATTATTTTTCTCTCTAGGTCATTTTCTCTTTTTTCTGGCATATGTGAGAAATTCTAAATTTATTTTTTTTTAAAATATTTAAAGCCGTTAAAGGGACAACAAAAAATAAAAGAAGAGCTTTATGTAGGTAAATGACCACTGATTTATTTAAATAAAAGAGGGAAAGGGGGACAATGAAGGCTGATCAAATAATTTTATTTTTTTTTTTTGGGGTTGGGTGAAAATTTGCTTACATATAAGTATATTTCTGATCTGAAAATTTTTCGAGAATTTTTATATCCTGAAAATTTTTTTTCTGAAATCTTCAAGGCTGGAAATATTTTAAAATACATATTATTTAAAGCAGGATAAAATTTTCTTTTTTATTTAAAAGCTATTTAAAATTTTTTGAAAATTTTGCTAATCTTTTATCACAAATTTTTTAAAAAGAATACTCTAAAAATTTTACAGTCCTCACAATATAATATCCAATACCTTAATATAAAAATTACTTCTTAATATTTAGCCACTTGGTGGAGGGAGGGGGTGCTTAAGCGGTACCCCTCCTTTAAGAGAATTTCAATATAGCCCTAGGAGTGTAACTTATAGTGAGATTCTGATTGTAATTTGTCGGTCAAATCACTTCTTATTATGTCGGTTTTATCTTTACATGTTGTTACGTGTTATTGAGATGCGTTCTTTACTGACTTTTTAAAATTTCAAAAAAATTTTCCCCAATTTTTTTTTCAATTTTTTAATTAAAAATTTTTTTCTTTTTAATCCTTCATTTCCAGCTTAATTTAAAAATAGGCGGAATTATTATATAAATTTTTAAATTATTCTCTCTTTGCAACATTTAATAAAAAAACGTCATTAACACATTCACAAAAATTCTTCAGTCTTTTAAATTTAAGTAACATCATTTTGAGACAACTTTTAATTATTTTAAAAACTTTTCTGATTATTTTCTCTTTCCAGATTTTTTTTGTAAAAAGAATGGTAAGTTTTTAATAAATAAATAAATATTAGCCTAATAAGGAAAAGAATAAAAAAATATTATTTTATTTATAAATTGAGATTGCGTAGTTTACTCTCTCATAATTTTTTGATTATTTTATATTATGTTTTGCAAGAAAAAAATTTTTTTAAGGACGGAATAAGGAAGGACCTCTGATAAAATTAAAAATGGTTGTATTTGGGTATCTTTAAAAGTAGCCACCGCAACGGGGAGAGATTATAGAACTATATCTCCTAGATAAACAAGGGTTTTGTGAAGAGGTCGGTCGGAAATAACGAGGTGTCTGACTCGGAACTGTCGGAACTCGGAAATCAGCCTAATTTTTCGGAAACCAGAAGGAAAAAACGTCGCAAATCAGAATTCTGACCGACCCCTGGTGTTGTGTCCGTACTTGCAGGGAAAGTATGGACAAATAAAAATATCTATACCAACATCGGGGCTTCCCCCGATGGCAAATCGGAAAGATGGCAAAATCGGTTTTGTTTTGATCTGGGTTCATACGAGAATAGTTCTGTTCCTCCCATCAACTAAATAAAATTTTTCACGGCACAGCCGTAAATACAGCGATTTTGAACTCGTTATATTCTCTATAAGTTCGGGTTATCAAAAATTTTTTGAAAGGTCTAACAAACTCAAAGTAAACAAAAATTTTATATAATACAAGAATAAAAAACTGTGCTTAACAGCGAAACAAAAAACTAGAGAAATCTCTCTCCATACATAAATACCATATAATAAAAATATTTATTCAAAAAGATATAAATTTTCTAAATTATTTTAATTTGTCCAACTAATCATCTAAAAAATAAATCCAAAAAAATCTTAAAAATTTTTTCCTTAAAGAGACAGCAACAACAATCAACATTATTTGCTGGTACTTCCTCTATTAAAATTATTAATACAAATCCTTTGGGTATTCTTTCATCATCCTCTCCTCCCAATCCCAACAAAACCTTCACAACCATTACATTTATTAATTCACTATCTTGGCAAACATCATATTTATTAAATTTATTTTTTAAAATGTTTAAAACTTCCGGTATCCGACTAATAAGACTGCGGCCATTTATTTTGCTAATTTTTTTGGTAAGAATATTTTTTATTTTTAAGAGGATAAAATACTAACAAAAATTATTTTATAAATTAAAAAAAATATTTTTTATTTAATTAAAGTGAAGGGGCTTTAGGAGAACCTTGGTGTTTTAAAAATTCATAAAATAAATTACAGAACGCCAAAAAATTTAAAATTTTGTAAGGAGTTTCTTTAGCATGTCTTTTGATAAAGTACAAAATTTTGGCATTTTTGGGTGACAGTACTCTAAGTTACGGTAAGAAACCTTACCCTATCTGACACTTCATTCTCTTATTTTTCTCCTTTTTATTTAAATCAAATTTTATTTTTCAAATTTTCTAAACTAAATTTTTCTTTATACCGTATTTATTCTAATAGAATGGCCCCTCCATTAGAATGGCCCCTCCAATAGAATGACCCTTTTTTGGGGGTATCGAAAAATAGAGTGGCCACCTCTATTTGAATGGCCCCTCCAATAGAATGGCCCTTTTAACTACAAAACATATACCTAATACATTTCTTTATTTTCTTATTACCTGTTAAATAGTACTCTTTAGTTAGGATAATCATAATATTTTTGAGCAAATCTGGAGTAATAAAAGGGAGATTAAGAGGGATATTAGGGGATTTGAGAGGATTAGAAGTGATATTACGAAATTACAAAAATTTACTGAAGATAAATACTACATATCAAGGAATTAAGAGAATTAATGTTAAATATTCATGGATTGGATAGATTAGATTTATCAGAGAACATGCTGGGATACATAGGATTTATAGGAATATCGTTCAAATTCATCAATAACGCTCAGAATCTCTTCCGATTCCAATATATTACGTCCAACTTCCAACATCCCACAAAATTTTGGGAGCCAACTGTACCGGAAATTTTGATTATATGGCACCGAAGTACATAAAAAGTTGCCTTTTTGCCTAGCAGGCAAAAGACATTTATGTTTTATAGTGTTACGAAAAGAAAGATTCACTAACCAAAGTCGAAAATATGGAATTTTACAAGAAAAATCTATTAAATTTCGAAGTCGAAAGATATTCGATTGGACAATAGATTCATCCAATCTCAGATTCTAAGCTATGAAAAATAGAGTGGCCACCTCCATTAGAATGGCCCCTTTTTGGGGGTATCGAAAAATAGAGTGGCGGCCATTCTATTAGAATAAATACGGTATATTTTTGTTCCTTCTTTCAAATGTTCAAAATCTTTTTCATTAATTTTCATCAAAATTTGGTTAGTTGCCACTTTGACATTTTTCGTTATTTTGGGTCATAATTTAGGTTTTACTAGAACAAAGAATCCAAAAAATTTTTGAAAACTTGTTAGATACGTTCATTAACAACATAAAAAAGCAGATTTAGAAAGTATCACTAGAAATATTTAGAAATATCTTAAAAATATTCTTTTTAATTTACAAAAGTAGTCACCTCTTTCTAACTCATTTATTAGTAAAAATTTTTAAAAAATTCTAAAAAAATTTCCACAAACTTCCTTCGTTTATTTATCATATTTTTTTACCATTTAAGACCAATAAGAACTAAAATATAACATTTAAAATTTTCCAAATTAATTTAAAAAAATTTCTCCATAAGGGTTTCATCTGCGCGCATACCTCATTTTAAACCTATTTTTAGCTTTATTTTTTCATTTATACGTCTACAAAATAAATTTTTTAAAATTTCTTTTCCCCCTCTGACTAAATTTAAAAATATCCATATTTATGTTTCGTATAATTTAAAAAAAAGAAACCATAAAAAGACCGTTTTCCAAAAATAAGTATAAAAAAAGTTAATTAGAAAAAAGGGAGGAAATACGTCCACAAAAAATAATTTTTTTTTTGTCTAATGAAAAAATAATTATTTTGACCAATTTTGAGAATAGAAAATTATTTTTAAGAGGATTTGGAACTAAATTAATAAATTAAATTTTAAATTGGGATATTTTGTCATTTTTATTTTTTTGGCGGAAAAATTTTATTTTAAATTAAAGTTAAAATTAGGGAGGATTAAAAATATTTTTTGTTTAAATTTGTGAGAGATTAAGTCTCGAAATATATCAAAAATTAATTAAATATTAGTGAAGTTTATTAAAATTTACTTGAAAAAATTTTTAATGTTTTAAATCTAAATATAACCGTGTCTGGTGAAAACGGCAGTGGTGAATTGGGCAGTGAGTAATTTGGGCAGTGAGTGATTTGGGCAGTAAACGTTTTTTAAAAAATAATTTTACACGCAAAAACAATTTGAGTAACGTTAGAAGAATATTTTGAGTGATTTGGGCAGTAACTTATAATTTTTAAATTATTTACACAAAAATTAAAAGAACCGCACCCCTTTTTCATTTTGATAACGTTGTAGGTACAACATAACCCTTTGTTGAAATCGTCTTGGTCTCAATTTTGACGTTTCCCTAAGTGATAAGTAGATTTAAGGTTGAAAAATTGAGAAATGATTCCTATTTAAAGTTTTTAGGTCTCAAGATAGGTCCAAAATACCTGAAAAAGGTCAAAATAGTTCTGGAAAAATGTGTTCAAATTTTGGATTTACTTCAAGTTAAATAAAAATTTCCGGAATTTTTCTTATCAAATTTAAATAATTTAAAAATTATAAGTTACTGCCCAAATCACTCAAAATATTCTTCTAACGTTACTCAAATTGTTTTTGCGTGTAAAATTATTTTTTAAAAAACGTTTACTGCCCAAATCACTCACTGCCCATATCACTCACTGCCCAATTCACCACTGCCCAAATCACACGGCACCAATATAACAAACAGACTGGAAAATTAGTCGGAAATCGCAACGCCAAACCCCCTCGATACCTTTTAAAGGTGCCGTGTGATTTGGGCAGTGGTGAATTGGGCACTGAGTTATTTGGGCAGTGAGTGATTTGGGCAGTAAACGTTTTTTTTTAAATAATTTTACACGCAAAAACAATTTGAGTAACACTAGAAAAATAATTTTGAGTGATTTTGGCAGTGACTTAAATTTTCTAATTATTAACACACAAAAATTCAAGGTACCGACACCCAAGGTACAATGTTAAAAATTTTCCCTAAGTGATAAGTAGTTTTATGTACGAATAATCGAGAAATAGGTCCCATTTTAGGTTTCTTACGTCTCATGATAGGGTCAAAAAATCTGAAAAAGGCCAAAACATGTTTCTGTTGAAAAATATGTTGAATTTACTTTAAGTTAAAATAAAAATTTTCTATTTAAAAAAATTTAAGTCACTGCCCAAATCACTCAAAAATATTTTTCTAGTGTTACTCAAATTGTTTTTGTGTGTAAAATTATTTTTTAAAAAACGTTTACTGCCCAAATCACTCACTGCCCAAATTACTCACTGCCCAATTCACCACTGCCCAAATCACCAGACACGCTTTTAAACAAACAAACTTTTTCTAATAAATTTGGTATTTTTGGATAAAAAAGGAAATTATTTATCAAAAAATGTCCTTGTTAAAATTAAAGTTGTTAGGGAAAAAAAAGTTAAGGCCAAAAAACCAGACCTGGTCATGGATACGGACATGGATACAGATAATACAAAAATACCTGCGGATATCCGTCTGTATCCGGATACGGATACCAAAATCAGTATCCGTGACCAGGTCTGGTTACGATTAAAAAACCTAAAAAATTAAAAAAATTCACTTTTAGAGGGGTATTTTGCCTCTCTTATATTTTATTTTTCCAATTAAAAAATTTTTATTTAATTTCCATTTTATACCTATAATATTCTTCTCTATTTAACAACATCATATTTATTTTCCAAAAATATTTTTTAAAATTATTTTCAGAATTATACCAAGTTTTTAAGCTAATTGGTCCCTTATTCCACTGACCCTCCCCCCTCCCCTCCCAAAAGAAAATAATTATTACGTATTTGTTGTTTTCCGCTTTAAAATGCACTGATAATTTAAATAAAAGCTTAAAATTAATGGATAGCAAGAAAAAGGAGGGAAAGGGAAAGCTTAGGCGCCGGAAGCAATCGAGGAAGCAATTAGTCGGAAACAAGCTGAATGGCACACAATTTACGATAATCGAAAGCATTCCTGAGGGGAATAAATAAAAATATTCTCTGTTTAGCTTTGAGCCAAATTAAGGTTAATGCCGGAAGGGAAAAGGATAAAAAATTTGTTTTATGGATTAAAAGGAAAAATATAAAAAAACTACGTCAGAAAAGAAAGAAAATAATAAGCGCAAAGCTTAAGTGAAAAGAACGAAAATAGAAAATAAAAAATAAAAAAATTATATATTTTAATAGTACAATGTCTCGGGGGGACACAAAAATGTAAAAAAGGGAGATTAGTTACGATGGAATGTGTAAAATTTTGCAGAAAATTTAAGGGAAATAAAGTCTCGCGCGACTGTCTAATTTTAAGGAAGGGAAAAGTCACGAGGATTGCTATACAATATACGAGACGATTGTCTTGAAGTTAGGACTAGGTACTGAAAGATAGATAAAATTAGAAATGAATAGAAGGGAAGAGGACACTTCGAAGACCTAAGAACCTCATTAGTACCAAAAGTAGATAGTATCAAAGGAATTTTCTAGATCTTGAATAAAAAAATGTTCTGATATTTCTATACCAATTACCATTAATTTCAAAATCTACTAACATTCTAATATTTGCAAAAATATCAAAATAAAACATTATACTTAAATAGGAAATTACATATAAAGTATCTATGTATATTTTTGATATTTTCCCACCATATCTTTGTCATTCACTCATTTCGTATTCAATGACAAATACAATGTATTGTAACCTTAATTTCTTATTTAATGGTAATATCTGCAAAAGTATAAAATTAAATAGCAAAATAATAGTTTAATATACATGTAGGTATTTTTTATGAGGCCGTCATTTTTTATCCTTTTCTAACTTCCGGACACAAAATTGCGAAATATAATTGATCGCCACCTTAGAGAAATTATTTAAATTAGGTAAAAAAAATTTTAAAACGTGTATAAGCCGATTGAAAATGCAAATTGAAATTGCAAGCCTTACTCCAAGACATTATAACGAAACACAAATCAGTATAGACAAACATAGTAAAAATCTATCAATCATTATTGCATAGTCATTCTAACTAAATAAACTAAAAAACAAATAAATAATATTTGTACAAAGTAAAATGTAAAATTATATATGTTGCAAATATAGAATCAAATTTCTTTTAAAACTCAAAGTTTATTTTAAAGTTTATAAAGAACTGCAATTATTTTGCCCTTTTATAGTAAAACAAATAAACTTTTATTTTAAAACTTCTTTTTTATAGGCATGTAGTGTTTGTTTATCTTCTGCATGCTCTGTTTGCGAACAAAAAGCCTTTGAAGAGTACAAAAGATTACGTCAAGAACAGGTAAATAATTATTTATTTTTAAAAAGATTCTAGAAGGGAAAGTTTTGAGAAATTAAGATTTTTTAAAATTTAATTAGAAAGTTTGATTAATTAAAATAAAAATTAGTCATATCGGAAATTGAAAAATACTATCAAGGGTGCATAAACTTGCACCACGGTATGTAGGATAATTTTGAAGAGATTTCTCTATACTGAAGCGATGGAGAATTTTTAATCTTAAACAGCGGAAGACGGAAGCGGAAGAAAGTAAAATAAAATTAAAAAGCACAAGATGTAAGGCGGAAGCGGAAGACCCAAAAAAGGCGAAATTCTAGCGGACGGCAGAAGCGATACCATCTCAACTATACAGCTTGATCTCTTAATTTATACATCCAAGACCAAACCTTTTTATGTTGTTTGGAAGAATACTTAGACAATACCTCTTAAGAATTCCCTTTTTTGCATAAAGATTTACAAAAATCCTTTTCCAGATTCTAAAAGATTTACTAAAAAAATTGGAATTGCCTGCCAAACCCAATGTAACAGTCGACTACAATTCCTTAAAATTCATTGCCCCACACAATCAACGAATACAAGCATTAATTGAACAAAGCCGTCGAGAACATAACCAAGAACATCGCCGAGTGCGTAAAGTAGGTTAAAAATTACAAAAAATTGTTAAGGAATTGTTACTTTTAAGTTTTTAAAATGGTAAAATTAAAATGTGGACAAATAATATTTTGGTGAAAATTTTTGTGGGCCTAATCTTTATTAAAAAATGAGGGTTTAATAACAAAAACTGAGGTAATGATGATCCACTTGGAAGCAATTAAATTGCTTAGACCGGGGGGGGGGGTATCTACTTATAAGGAGATCGGTTCAGTAGTAGAGCACTTGCAAAGGTATAAGTAAGGCCAAGCGAGAGCACTCTCAGCGTGGTCACAGGTTCTCTTTCCTTTTCTCTTGTCTTCCATATTAGGGTTGGTGTTTTAAGACTAAACCGTAAAAACGAACATTTTCTTGGTTTGTTTCGACAACTATAATACTGACTAGTTTTGTTTCGCTTAAAACAGAAAAGAAGAATTATTTGTTTCTGTTCTTCAGTTCGTTCCGGATATATCCTAAGATTTTCTAATGCTAACAATATCGTATTCCTGATCATTCTCTTTTTAAAAAAATTAAATTTCGCTTATACAGTAAACCATAAAAGCAAACAATTTTATTATGAAATTCTGTCTGGCTAATATAAAGATAAAAATCAAATTAAAAATCTAATTTAGCTGATTGATTTTCAAAATATAAAAAAAATTTTCAAAAAAAAATTGTAGAGATTTAGGAGAAAAAATTAATTTTTCGTTAAAATTATTTAAAGTCCATCCAGCAGTGGCGCAGACGAAATTCGGACGAAGATGGAGTTTTTGAAGATGGTGTTGATTACTTTCCGGCGCTTTACGAGACAGAACGAGAACAGCCTTTACAAACAAGTTATGTTTTGGCAGAGGGGGCGCCTGAATGGTTTGATCAGGTAATTGTGGAATTTTTTGGTCCTGATAATAAGAGGGGGGCGTCGAGTTCTATTTGCCCCATAAATAGATTAGCTATTACTCTAGCATGATTAGATATCTAGAAAAACTTATGTATATTCCAATGTTATTAATAGAGACATGACCGAAACTAGAATTTTGAAAAAAATATCTCGTTTATCTAGATCGATATCTTTGAGATAATGATCTCGACTCTCTTACGACTCTCCAAGTCGAGCTCTACATAGTTATTTACTAGGGGTGCCGGTTCGGAACTTAACAAAACCGAGAAAATTTATTTTCGTTTCCGAATATCAGAAGGTTTTCCAAGAGTCGAAAACCTTATTAATTAGAGAAACGAAGGACTCTCCAAGGTGTCAATTGTTGAGATTTCGTTTCAATTTTGTATTTTTGTGAACTTTCGATAAAAATTATACAAAAAATAAAACTATATAATTAAAGAATCTCCAAGCAGCAGTGTTCAGATTCGGGGCAGATTTACGTAAAAAGTTTGTCACATCAGCTCGTCTAAATATTTTCCTTCGACGACCGGAACAATTCGAATATGGACAAATAACTACAAGACTTAACATATATCAACGATTTCCTAATGGAACGGTAACCAAAAATTCTGAAAAAAATTCCAAAAAAATTTCAAAAAAATTTTTTGTTTCTTCATTAGCTCGGTCCAAAACTTGTCAGTAAACATTTGGACCTCGATTTTGGGGAGGCAACAGAATTTGAACAAGTAGAATTAATGTTAGATGTTTTGCCAGTTCAAGAATGGATAGAAAATGGCCCTCAATTTGAACAACAAAAATTTTATTCTGATTTTGATAACGAAAATATTCCGAGTTCTATAGCACTTTATGTTGAGGCTATTTATGAAGGAGAAAATTTAGTTCAATATCCAGCTTTGCCTAATAATGAGGAAAATGAAGATGAGGTGAGCTAGGGAGAGGGAATTGAGGGGAAAAATAGTATTGGTTACTGTAGTCGAGATATTATAAAAATCTGAATTCATAGAGACCTTGCCAACATTGAAAGTAAATTTCTGATTTCGTTGTCGATGACGAAGTTGAAGATTTAAAGATTCCGCTGTTAGAGTTGGAATTCCTGATTCACGAATGTAAAATATTCCATCTTCTTGAGGAAACTAATTCCCTATTAAAGAATAGGAAGGTGAAATAGTTTCCACAAGAAGAGGGAATATTTTTACATTCGTGGATCAGGAATTCCAACACTAAAAGTCGAATAGGAATTCCCGATTTTAGTGAATCTTGCAAGATCTCTCGTAAAGAGATCTCTCGTAAAGAGGTTTTTAGACCTTTCCCACCTTTTTATTACTATTTGAAAATAAAAAACCATCTTTTTTTGCAAGTCCCAAAAATGTTGAAATAACTATTTTTTGGAAAATATGTCCTTATTGGAGATATCAAGGCGGTTACTCAAGCTTTATTAAAAATTAGATAATTATGTAAAGAAACTTTTGAACTAAAAAAATTTTTTTAGAATCAAAAATATTCTGCTTATTCTTCCCCCTCTCGAATGTTTTTCGAACTGGAATTAACTAATCTAAAAAGTGGACGTTCCCGTCGAAATGCAAATACTTGCAAACCTGGCTCTAACAACACAAAATGTTGTTTATATGATTTGGTTATAGATTTTGAGAAAATTGGATGGGGATTTGTTATTGCACCTAAAAGATGTTGGTTTTTTGAATAAATTCAAAATTTTCTTTGATAGTTTTAAACTACTATTTTTAAAAATAATACTCCGATTATAAGGACATTTTGGATATGTATAAGAGTAAGTTAGGGGAAAAGGCAGTGAGGGGCAAAGGGGGTCCCTGAGTAAGTGAGGGGCATAGGGGGTCCTTCGATCCCCAGGACATTTTGGATATGTAAAGGGTAGTGAGGGATTTTTGTAAAGGATTTTGTATTTTTGTAAAATAATGCTTCGATTATAAGGACATTTTGGATAGTGAGAGGCAAAAGGTTGCGCTCCTTGAAGGCATTGATCCTTCGATCTTCAGGCAACCATTGCTAGGCGGTTTAGCTGACCACGTAACTGATTAAGTTTCATAATTTCTTCTACTAGACCTTTAAACCCTTGCCTAGTAATCGTTTTAAATGCTACTTCTTCATTACATAATAAAAGAATAAAAAATTATATTAAAAAATATTTCCAGATAATGCTTATGTTTGTAGCGGAGAATGTGCCAGAATGGTTAATATATTTCTTTAAATTTATTAAATAATTTTTGAATAATTTTAAGGCCAATAGTCCATCTATGGGACGATTTCAAGCTGCTGCAGCTGCCAAAATAGACCACTTTCAATGTTGTCACCCAAAAGAATATAACGGAATTACTGTAGGATTTTTGAAAAAATATTTTTTAGAATTAAAAAAAATTTAGTGAGGCTTACGATTTTTCGGAAAAAATTTTTTTGAAAATTTCATGAGGGTTAGGTTTTCAAAAAATTTGTAAAATAAATAAGTTAATAAATTAAGATTCTTTTTGTGCAAGAAAACAATAATGTACTAATCCGTCAAATACCAAATATGGTGGCCAAGGATTGTGGTTGTCAATAAATGTGAAAAAGAGAAAATTTTGATTGAACAGTTTTAAGATATTTAATTTTTTGTTCCTTTTTTTAAATATTAATAGGGGAAATTGAGAACAAATTGGAACATTAGAAGCTACTTAAATTTAAATTAGTAGTTCAGTCCTGGCCTAGCGTATTTTCCCGATTAATCCCCCCTCCCTCGATTAATTCCCCATGCCAAGTAATGTTTAAAAAAATAATTCCACATGGGAATTAATCTAGAAAATATGGTATTCCCTCCTATATATTAGTAAAAAAATTTAAATCTACTCTCGTTTTGGTTGGCGGATTATGGGAAATCAGCCAACATCAGGACTTATTTAGAGTCCCAATCCTACTCTTGGAATTTTGCTTTAGACTTTCTAGAAATGTAAATCTAAGGGAATTTTCAAAAACATATTCAATCCCATATGCCTTTTGTCAAAGAAAAGCTATTTAAAATTCCCCATTAAATACTAAAGACAGGCTATAGATACTAGGGAATACTTAGAATTTTTAAAAGTTTTAACTCTCAATTTTCTACCTAATTTTCTTCCTTTTTTTTAAATTTATTGATATTTTTTTTGTTTTTCTTTAATATTTGATCTCTAAAACATTTTCCAAGGCTTTTTCTTATAAAAATTCCCAACTTTTTTATGTTTTTGTGTAGATCAAAGCGAGTATTTTATAATTTTTGTGATTTTATATTTTATTTGTAAAAGTATTTTAAAGCCGAAAAATATTTAAAAAACAGAATTTTGATTTTTAATTAATTTTTGGTTTTATATTATGTAGTACTTGATAATAATTTTTTGTATGAATCCAAAATTTACTTGAATTTCTCTGTAAAATTCAACTTTCTAATTCAATAAAAAGTATAAAAAATATAAAAATTTATCCAAATATATTCGTCGATACGGAAAGAAATGATATCCAGGTGTGCGGACATACACTCTGTTCCAAAATGATACGACCACCCTTATTTTTCACTGTAACTAGATGAAAAATCAACAAATCTAACTTAAATTTTAACACAATATGTATTTCTACAATATTGTTCAAATCTATAAATATTACAGTTGACAGTTGATAGATAAAAAATTTATCGTTTAAAAACCGATATTTAGGTGTTCCAAAATGATACGACCACTTGATAGTTTTATACTTGCTAGGTACCTATCATTGTTTTTTTATTCCATAGTTTCACTACAATAAATATTGTAATAAAATAAGAAAAAACTAGGCCGATATCATTACGAGAAGGCGAGATACTGATACCTCAAAAATCAACGTAAAACGGGGGTAAGGCTTTGTCAGGAAGATTTTCGACCCCTTATAAGTTATTTTAAAATTTTATTTTAGGCTCATTTGAAAGCCCTTGAAATTTGCTACAAGATGGCAAAGCCATATTTTTCAGAAAAAATTCCAAAGAAAGATACGGGTCGTTAGTCTTCCGAACGCCTAAATGCCCTATAAAATGTCACTTAAGGTAGCTTCGGAAGATTAAAAACCCGTATCTTTCTTAGGAATTCCCGTATCTTTCTTAGGAATTTTCATCAAGTTACAGTGAAAAATAAGGGTGGTCGTTTGCATGTTTCCGTTTGTTCTAAAACATAAAAACTATTCCTCAATAGGAAAATATACTATCCAAGACCCAGTGGCCGTAAGTCACCTAAATCAATAGGGTAACTGTTCTTACATTGAAATATCCCGATATGTTCGTCCCGATATGTCCGCGTGCCGAAAGCCATATCAGCGAATGACCTACATACTTCTGATGCAAATATTTATGAGTGGACACTAAAATTATTGACAATTTTGGTTGTTGTAATTTGGAAAAAATGTTGAATGGAATATATAAAAAAATGTTGAATGAAATATATGTAGTTGAATTGGGCCAGCCGAAGGCTTCATCATCAATTAGTGCCAAAACATGGACGCATGAATTTCAGATAACTAATGGTTTTCGCACAATTACATACCCACGTCGACGCTTCCGTTTTCTTCTTGAAATGGATGCTGATCTTCTTGAAATGGATGCCCCTATTGAATTCTATTTCTGGCTTGTTGGGTCAGTTTGTATTAACTAATTTTATTAAATAATGGTATTAGTTTAAATTTGAGAAAAGAGTTTTGTAGTTATAGTTGATAAAAATTTGTTCTCGACTATTTTATAATGTTTTATCGAAGAAAAGTTGATAAAAATAGAACATTTTTAAAATAAAAGTATAAAAACACAAAACTGATAAAAAAGTTGATAAAAGTAAAATGTTGATAAATATAAATAGTTGAAAAATAAATCGATAAAATGAATTAAGTTCTGTTTTATCAACTTACAAATCAGCTACTTATATTTCAATACTAAATTGTTTACTTTCTAGAAAACTACTTGATTTGCGTCGTCCATACGCTCATACAATCGAGAAACACAATGCAACTAAATTGTACACTGATGGCTCGGAAAGATATTCTCTATTTGGCTCTTTTATAGATCATTCTTCATCCCCGTTAAGAGTTGGTCCAATCAAACCTGAATATGACCACATTATTGAACGTAGGGAGAGTAAAAAAAGGAAGTTTCTATTTATTTGGCTATGTCCGCGTTAAAGGTTTTGTACCCGTTGAAATTGCTAAACATTCTAATTTTTGTGGCTTATTTTATAAATTATCAGTTTGCTAAATTTTTCATTGTGAGTTATCTGTTTTTCAGAATTTCACGTCATCTTCACAACTTTGGGGCACGCTTACAACTTCAATATATTTAAAGAAATGGGCCCGGACATGGTTTTCTTCGAAGAAAGCAGACAAATTTGTTTTGTTGAGGCTGTCAGCAAATTCAAGAATTTGTTGTGTACACTGCGTTCCAAAATTATACGCACCCCTAATTTTTTTAGAAGTTTAGCATATTTTCCTTCCCTATTTTAATTGGATATTTTATCTAATGATTCTTCTAAATAATGATTCTTCTGTCATTTATTTTTTGTTTTCTCCCTTCCCTTCGAATTGTCAAAAGAGACTATAACGGAGATGAAAATGAGCGAGCGCCACTATTAAGAAGAAATGCAAGCAAAGAAAAAGGGAAAAAACAAAGAAAAATTTTTGCGCCTTCCTTTTGATAAAAAGGAAATTAATCTCAGACTCAATACCATTTCAGAAAAAGTACCATTTCCTATTTAAAAATTTTTTAAACAAACAACTTTTGTACAACAGCATTTATACATTAGGAAAAAATTAAAAATAATAGAAACAAGTGAACATACTAGATACTAGTTTTTGTTCTTTTTTTCGTTTTTTGTGTTTTTTATTTTTGCGTTTTTTTTGTATTTTTTGTATTTTTTTGTGTTTTTGTATTTTTTGTGTTTTTTTGTGTTTTTGTATTTTTTGTGTTTTTTACTAACATTCAAAAATCGTTTTCAACCGTCATCTCTACCAATTGTTTTGAATATTGGCTTCAAAACTTAGTTTCTTGAAGAGCGAATGCTCTTCAAAAATTTTTTCACAATTGTGTCCAAGTTATCTAATTCTAAATATTCAGGAGTAACCTCAGCAGGCATCTCCGGAAACGGCGATTCTTCTTCAACCTCCTCTATAGCCTTTTTAACAATGCCAAGGAAAATGTCAATTTGCCCATATCGAGCCTTTTTAATTGCTTTTTTAATTTTCTGTGCATTTTTCTGATATGAATGTGATCTAAATATTATAAAAATTAATTTTACCATTAGAATTATTATAATCTAATAGCACTCATAAAAACATAAAATTCTAATTCTAACATCCGTTCTTACGATAAGTCGGTCTGTGCTAAATTGGGTTTTTAATTTATTGGGATATAGTTTAGTCGAGGGCCTGCACCGAACCGGGTCAAATGATATGTCATTCGATTCGTCTTGGCGAGCTGAGTCGAACGGTACCACTCTCCAGGTGCGGAAATGCCTGTGGACCGAGATATAGGTCCCTGAAATTTGAAAAACCAAAGGGGGAGTAAGCATTTTTTGGGGGTGAAAAAATGGATTTTTTGAATAATAGCTCATTCGAAAGAGCTCCTCGAGCTGAGTCGAATGACACCAAAATCACTGAGATTGGACGAGTATGAACCGAGATATAGGGCTCGAAATGGTCAACTTAAACCTATGGAGCGTCGGCGAGGCGCTTGTGCAAAACTCCGCGCTTCGCGCGGAGTTTTGCGGCACGCGCCTCGCGAGGAGTCTACGGTTGCTGGGTCTGGGCTCGTAACTTAATCCTATTCCTTTTTACTGATTCTCAGCCTTGAATGCCGACCTATCCTCCGTAGCAACACCAAAACTGTTATTCAAGCGAAAATTGAATTGTTCATAATTTTGTTCAGAATGATCGGATCGAGCTGATTTTGGTGTCATTCAACTCAGCTCGTAGAGCTCTTTCGAATGAGCTATCATTTGTATAATCGAATTTTTGACCCCAAAAATCACCCCAGAAATTTGACCATTTTGAGCCCTATATCTCGGTTCATACTCGTCCAATCTCAGTGATTTTGGTGTCATTCGACTCAGCTCGAGGAGCTCTTTCGAATGAGCTATTATTCAAAAAATCGATTTTTTCACCCCCAAAAAGTGCTTACTCCCCCCTTTGGTTTTTCAAATTTCAGTGACCTATATCTCGGTCCACAGGCATTTCCGCACCTGGAGAGTGGTACCGTTCGACTCAGCTCGCCAAGACGAATCGATTGACATATCATTTGTCCCGGTTCGGTGCAGGCCCTCGACTAAACTACAGCCATTTATTGTAGAAATTAATATTTCTAGAAAATTTTATATCGTACGATATGTTGCAATAAATTTTATTTAAAACAAAGTATTACCACTATTTTTTGCTTGTTTTGTACGAATTTTTGTACGACGTCCAAGCACTGCTTATACTAAATTTTAAATTTAAAAATAACTTACTCCATTATCTCATTAAACGATTCTTGAAATTTTCCAATAAAATCTCCAAGTTTAATAGAAATCCCAATTCCCAAATATTCAGCAA